TAATTGAAAAGGACAAATAATTAGGATAAATACATTACATTTATAATTAATGGTTACTTTTTAAAATAATTGTCCTTATGTAATAATACCAATTTGTAATTTTTTTAAAAATAACAACATCATTTAGATAAAAAATGTATTATGGTTATGGTTTTATATAGTTATAGCCCTAAAGAAGGGGGAGCCTTACAACCTCCAAATGGATGTTAATAACAGAAGATCTAGCAATAAGAACACGACAGTAGCTCTAACCCTTCCCTGCTCTATCCAAAACTAAAAAACATGGCTTTAGATACAATTTAATAATACACAATTCTGATATTTTTTTCCCCTTACACATCCCATATTTGAACATTGTGATCAGATGCCCTGGGGAGGAAAGGGTTACAGAGACTGCTGAACGCTTCAGTATCAGTGCATTGTTTTACATTAAATTGCTCTCTCAGAGATGTCTCTTGGAATCAGTTCTGCTCTATTGGCTCCCATAAAAGTGCCAGTTTTACTGAGTCTTCACAAAGTAGGCCACATATACTGTATCATCACTCTTTCTATAAGGATTTCTTTTTCACCTCAGAAACCGCTTCAGTTTTTGTGTCCTATAAAATGATGTGTTTTTAAAATACATAGGGAGATTTTATAAAACTGTTTAAATGCGGGAAGGCTGGAGATTTCACCATACAATTTGTGTGGAAAGGCTGAACAGTGAAAGAGCCTTTTTTTTCATTTGATTTAAACAGTTTAATTTTAGCTCAAATTGGATATCCAAGCATCCTACGTCTGGGACAGAATAACTTACAGCTTTCCAGCTGTTGCACTACATCGGCCAAGGCCCCTAGGCCACGCTGACACAGTTTCAGTACATAGTAAAACTGTATTTTTTAAAACTTTCCTGTCTATTTTAAAGCACTGGAGTGTAAAGTGACTATTGTGGACAATTCTGTGTGTTATATAGTGTTGTAGGTCGTAGTAACCAATCAGATTTCAACTTTTTACAGATCTGTTAATGCTTACCTAAAGTATAAAGTGTATGTAAATGCTAACTCTGAACTTCTTTTATTTGCTCTATTTTAGTCTATTAACGAAGAACTCCAGGATTTAAAAATAAAAAAATAAACCCTTGCAGTGGGGCTACTTCTGCATTGCAAAGGCTAAGTGCTCATTTTGACTAGGGGCAAAAGTAAAGAAGAAATACTCACCCTCCGATCCTCTGCCTGGCTTCTAGATTGGTTCCTGCAGCCTCTTTTCCCCCGGGCTCCAGTGGTCTAAGGACCCGTGACATCATCAGGTCTAATGAATTCCAATAGACGTGAGAACGCTGAAGGACATTCCACAGCCAGAGTAGAGGTGAGTGGTCACTGCCACAGGACTGAGGATCGGATAGTATTTCTTTTTTATCTTCACCCCTAGACCAAAATAGGCACTTAACCCTTGCACTACGGGGGTAGCCTCACTGCAAGGGTTAATTTTTAAAAATCCTGGAGTTCTCCTCTAAATATTTAAAGTGTTTTGTTATACCTGTTCAATAAGTGCAAAAAATACCTATTAATCCTACCGGAAATTCAGTGAACTTGTAACATCCTGTACAACTGCTGACTGTTGTCATTTAGCATTATCAGGCCTGATCACTTCTCTGGACATCAGCACCTACGGAGAAGTGGAGAGGGAGAGGTGTTTAGCAGTCCTTGTTCCTGTCACAGGGTTACAAATCTGGTTCTCCATAGATACAGGGCAATAAGGATGTGTTGTCACCTTAGGACAGAAAATGTTTTACTTGCAGGATCACCAGGTGAAAATAAAGGAAACATTTCCAAAAATTGGAAATACTATTCAGCCTAACTTAATCTGATAAAAAGACATGTACAGTACTAACCTGTTTAAAGCTTCAGGATATCTCCAGTTATCTCAAAGGATGATGCTTAGTGGATCTAGCTGAACCTTTGAGAGTGATCTTGTGACAATATTACAGGGCTAGGGGCTGCAGAGATTCTGGAGCTAGTATTTCACAGGTCTTGAAAATATATTGTCAAATAAAGTTAGTGGATTGGGGAGGTGTTAAGTTGGCTTTGTATTAAACTTTATGTTAATGTATTTTAAGCCACCCTGATAAGAATGCTTGTTTATTTTTATTTGTGTATGCAAAGTGCTAAAGGCCTTAACGCAAGAGTTGAGCCAGGTTGCATGGCCACACTGCTTTTATAATTCTCCACGTCAACACTCTGGAATTCTGCATGCACTCCCCCCCTTTCCATGCACACACCCTCACTCCAACCTACCAACACTTTACCACCACCCATGTTGCAGGAAACTGGGACCATGGTTTGGGGTTTAGCCAATTGTCCTACATGTAACATTTCAGAGAGGGAAACTTGACAGTTCTTTTGCAGGGGCTATGTCCATTACCTTACATCAAATATGGAAATCAGTAGAGAGAGCTGTGGCAGTAACAAACCCTTGATTTATCCCATACGCTGCAGTATACCAACATATACAGGGTTATTCACAAAAGGGTGACGAGTTTGGAGAAGGCAGGAGAAGTGAACAATCTAGGACAACATAGCTGATTTGGAAAGATTCTCCAATTCAGCTCACTTTCCAGTTCACCTATGTTGTCCTAGATTGTTCACTTCTCCTGCTTTCTCTAAACTCTTCATCCTTATGTGAATAACACTGATAAAATGTACAAAAATATATGCCTAGTAAGCTAGCAAATGTAAATGGGTTTACAGCTTACATAAAGAAAGTTATAAACTCCTCTCTTTGTTTTTTTTTTTTTCACATATGGACAAACAAGTCTTTCTGCTCACACCTCCTCTTAGCCAATTTAGTGAAATAAAAATAATTTCCTTAGGTACCTCAAATCACTAGAGACTAGAGACATCAATAAAATTACATAGTTCAACATACTCCACACACAACATACTTCAGTTGTGCATACTGCCTCTTGGCACAATCCAAGGTAATACTACTGTTGGTGACAAGCTATCCTACCATAGCTTTGCAACAGCAATTCTGCAGTGTCCACTGAAGCCAGAAAGTTACAAGAGAACTTTGTGTCAAGATGCCTTGGAGGGGCACTGCAGTCAGGGCTGGATTTCCCACAAGGCCAACCAAGGCCCGGCCTCGGGGCAGCAGGGAGTAGAGGGTAGCAGGGGTGTGCAATTCTTATCTTCTGACGCCCAGGACATGCAGTTCCGGGCACCGGGCGGGTAATTGTTTTCTACATTTAGCCCTGCTTTGTGCAAGCAGAGCTAAATGTCGCCAATGTCGACGAGATCACTTGTATGCAGCCTGTATGCAGGGGGGCGCAATGAAGGAACCTGGCATTGGGGCAGCAGAGAGAGTAAATCCTGCCCTGACTGCAGTGACAATATCCTCACTGTGACTTGAGGTAGAGACGAGCTTCTGACATCTTGATATTTGATAAGACCATAAAATGTTAACTACAAAATTGCAGCCTCCACTAATTGAAGGCCACAGAAAAAAAAAACAAAGACAGACCTTTACTTTGGACCTTCTTTCAGGAGAGAGTTTTTTTTGCACATTTCAACCTGTAGATTTCTCCGATTCACCTCTTTTATCAGTAACACCAGCAAGGTCTCCAATCTTCATGGGAGGTCTGTGCTCAGTAGACCCTTCCTAAATCCTGAATAACTCTGATTTAATTCTACAGGTATGTAACAGAATTTGTAAACCTAGGCAATGTTTCAGCTCTTCGAACTTTCAGAGTATTAAGAGCTTTGAAAACTATTTCTGTAATTCCAGGTAAGAAGTAATTGGTGTGAGGTGTTAGGCCCCTTTGTACATCCAACTGTTTCTTTGTGTCTGTCATTGTGTTTGTGTGTGAACTCCCCTATTACAGATATGTCACAGAGTTTGTGGACCTGGGCAATGTCTCAGCATTGAGAACATTCAGAGTTCTCCGAGCATTGAAAACAATTTCAGTAATTCCAGGTGAGAGACAGGTTAAAACATGTAGGCTTGATTTTGCTCCATTAAGTACAAGCCACATCTTTTGAGCATAGAGCCTTGATGTTTGCCACTCATGCTGCTGAATAATCAGAAAAAAAGCAGGAATCCTGAGCAAACCCCCGAGAGATCCAAAAGATTCCTAGCTTTTTTTTTTAGCATTAGCTTTTTTATTTATTTAATTTTTTAGTTCAGTTTTTACAAGTTCTGAACACTTTCTTGCATGAGACTCTGCTATCTTCAGTCTGTGTAATTTGCATTTTAAGATTTTCTTTTTTATTGCCCACCGAGGTAAATATTTCCTTTCCAAAATAGATTAGAAAAAACTTTTATCATAGATAACCTTCTTAGAGCAGTGCAAATATTTGTGAAATAGAAATGAAGTGGTTAAGTGAGAACTATATATAAAATGTAAGTTTTTCCATTGTGATAAACAAAATAATATATAACATTCACAAAAATGTATGCCATAGATGGGAAAATATGAGTATTTGGCTCAAGGAAATGCTTAAAGAAAAAAGAAGGCTGTATTGTATTCAGTCTCCACCATGGGATTTTTTTGTTATCGGTTATTGCAGTTTAATGAAATTAAGGGGATGAGACAACATTGGCAACCCAAATATACAAACGTATGTTGTACCTCAAAATCTTCTAAATGCAATTGAGACTGGAACTCTTGCTCATGAAGTGGTAAAAGCCCATTTTTCTTGTTTTGTTGCCCCTCCCCACTAGGGACAGCTCCAGTAGTGCTGTGCTTTATAATTAGGTATCATGCCTCAAAGGCACTCCCAAAGAAATCCTCATCTTTTCTTCTGTACTAAAACATATGGGCAGATTTTGAAAACTGCATATTTTTATACTGTGCCCTTGGGGAGTCCTTCAATAACCAGAACACGCATACAATTCACGCCTCAACACCCATGCCCTAGTGCGCCACTCTGCCACACACTGATGACTTTATTGCCAATGAGTGGGGCCTGAGACAAGAAAGTTAGAGGTTTAGTTACATGTGTGGTATGAGAGGGTTCTTCATGCACAAAGAATAAGATCTGCAGCTTTCTAAAGTTAATTTAAGTCTAGGCTTTTAGAGCGGAATGAATGAGGATGATTAACATTAGTCATCTAGCTCATGTATTTAGCAATAACATTTAAATTTGATTAGTGCCTCTACTGATCTCTGAACCCACCTCAGCCACATGTTTTTAGACCGTGGAGACTTTAGATTTGAGAAAAAAAATCTGAAACATAATTATGCTGCCATAGTAGATGTAGCAACTACTATGGTAATTATAAATTATTTTGTTAGTGAAACAGAGCATAGTCTCAGGGATAGAATCAGTCACTCAGTCCTCTCCTCCAACTTTGAACCAGCTAGGTTTTCTTTTTCCTTCTTTGACACGAGCTCTATCATTGGACCATTTTAACTTCATCCATTAGTAAACTTGTGCCACTTTTTTTTTTTTTTGCCCCTCCCTGTTAAAAACTGACTGATCCTCGCTATAGAGGCTGGTTATCACCTTTCTTCTTTAAAAAAAAAATGACATATGGGCTGCTATCGATATTGCATGGAGCCCACACACTCACAGCCCTTATAACTGTAGGGGTTTCAGCCTATATGCTTGGTCGCTGGGCATCTACTACTTTAGAGGGGGCAGTGGGGCCACTCTGTTTTATGTTTTACCAAATAGAGAAGACCCAATCACTGTCAGGTTTGGGTTCACATAACTAGATTAGCTAATCTTTAGTTGGTATAGGTTCAGTGCTACGATTTATATAAATGCCCTGCTGTAACCCATATTGCACTGTAGAAATTACAGATATTTGTGAATGTTATAAAATATTCAAGACACTGGGATCAACTTGCATTTTATGTTAATGTTATCATAATGTAATATGAAATTCCAGAAGAGAAACATTTGAACTAGATATAAGTGAATAAGTTGCCAGCTACAGCTGTGTAAAGGTGACCCTTTACAAAAAAAAACAGCTCCTCCAGCCATTTTGTATGGTGTGTCAACTGTGAGACACAGAAAAAGACACCAAATTGTCCATGTCTCTTCAACCATTTCATTGTTTTCACCAGCTTCCGGCTGTCCATTGAGTTAACTGCTTTGTGTCAGTGTTACTGTGTGTGTCTCAGCTTCTGCATGCCAATATTTCATCACCGTACAACAATTACTAATTTTTTTCTGTGCTATTGGTGTGCATTTGGAACAAATGTTATTGTGTGGTTCTCATTCTAGGTCTGAAGACCATTGTGGGTGCCCTGATTCAGTCGGTTAAGAAGCTTTCGGATGTGATGATTCTGACAGTGTTTTGTCTGAGTGTCTTTGCACTAATAGGACTGCAGCTTTTCATGGGACACCTACGGAATAAATGCTTACTGTGGCCTCCACTATACAGCACTTATGAAATGAACTTCACATCCTACTTCAATGGCACAATGAACAGCAACAGCACGTTTTTCAACAGAACTGTCCCTAACTTTGACTGGCAGGAATACGTTGAAGACGATTGTAAGAATATATAGTATTTCTAATTCTCTCCTAATAATAATGCAGCTCTTTGACTAGTGAGTTTATGCTGCTACACTGCGATACAGAAAACAGTAACATTACTACTTACCTGGGAGGGATTTCTTGTGTGTTTGCCCCAGCACGCCATTGTTGCAGTTCTCCCTTAAAGCCCAGTGTTGTATATGACGTCCAATTACATGTCCAGCGCCCTAATCCCAGGTACTGTGCTTATGCCAGGTCACAGCTGAACAAGTCTCCATAAGGGGCTGTGTCAGTGGTCTTTTTGTTCACTTCATAAATGCTTTTGTCTGCATACCAGTCTATGTGAATGCACGAACAGCTCAACTGCACCTGCAATGCATTCTGAATATTTGGAAAAGTGTCTCAAACCAATGTTTGAAGCATGCAGTATTAGCCTATCAAAGCCTGTCCACACAGGCTACTACAGTATTAGGACACCCAAACTACAACCAGAAAAACATGTGTTATTCTAGTTTTTTGAGAGTACAATAGTGGTCATAGCTAAAATATTTCTCTATTGAGAGTGGCTCTCAGTGGTAATCTGTAGACATCCCAGTCAATATGCAGTCTTATTTTGGCTTTGGCCTTTATTTGTTTGTGCCCCTGCAAAGTCAATTCTCCCTCCCTTTTGTCCTAGTTACCATTGTCACAGAGACACAAATGTAAATGTTGAACATTTTACAGTCGTTGCCAAAAAGGAGATAGGGGTAAATCATCCAGTAGAGATACCTGTTATGATAACAACTGTATAAAAGGGGAACACCTCTCACTTTGAAGGGAAATCTCCCCAAAGGGACACATACAGTAAAAATAAAAAAAAAAGCACATACCGTACTCCTTGCTCTCAGAATCCCTCTGCATCCTCACTTACAATGCTGGACTACTCATCCTACCTTGTACATGATAATGTTAGAACACCTGTGACTGACAGAGCGGTGCAGAGAAATGGCATCAAGTAACCAGTCATGCAGCTAGGAGGAAGCTTATGGGATCCAGGAATAAGGAGCATTTAACCCTTGCAGTGCAGGGAAAGCCCACTGCAAGGATCAACTTGTGTTATTATAGGACTTCAGTTTTAATCCCTGTCAGTGAAATCTTTTAAGGAGCGCATGACAAGGTATCAGTCCTTTACTAAGTATCAGTAAAGGACTGATACCTTATCATACGCTCCTTAAAAGAGTAAATAGTTTGGTTTCAACAGATTTCTGGGAAATTGCTTTTTTAGGCTGAACATTTAAAGAATAACTTCAGCATAATATTACAGTTTTCAGCATGATAGTTAATTCTGAAGAAAGCGCCAAAACCATTGTCCCTGCCAACATCAGTGAGGAACAGCAGTTCATGATCCAGTTAGCCTTTTTAGTGTTACTTTAAAGTTCTGAGATGCTTTGAACAACCATTTATAGCCCTTAATTTTAATTGTGTTATTGCAGTTACAAATTTGATAAAATATTTATCTTTCCTTCTATATAGCACACTTTTACAAGTTGGAAGGTCACAAGGACTTTTTGCTGTGTGGAAACTCATCAGATTCAGGGTAAGGTATTTTGTTGTAATTGGGTTCATTACAACTCATCATAAACCATCATATAACCTACTTTTATAGAGATCTATGGGGTTCACTTATATGAAAATATCAGGTGTTATTCTGTAATCTAGTGGCACTTAATTGACAGCCCTCCAGCACTGTGGATAGTGCTTGGCACTACTGATAGCCTTCCTGGCACAGCTGGTGCTCTCTAGTGGTTTACAAGCACCTAGTGGTAGTGCAGGTGCCCAGCATTGGTGGTTCCAGTGTTGGTGTAATAGTCGCAATACTTTCAAGGTAAATTGTTTGATCATAAGAGCACTTGGTGGCCATATTTGAACCCTCCGAAATGCTGTACACTAGTGTTTTGTTGCTTACTCTAGTTTTCACTAGTAGTTTTCCGTTTAGGACCTTTAGCTAACAATTCTAAAGTCCCCTATACATTTCACTAAAATCTATAATATTCCTTTCACTAAAAACCATGTAACACTAAAACCTTTCCCTACCTAAACTCTAAAACACGCTTTTAAAGCAGAACTACCGTCAGTTGAAAAACAGGTATGACTTTTATGTTTTTATTACATCATGTTGTTGCTGATATGTGTTTTCGTTTGTATTGTTTTATTCAGTCAATGCCCAGAAGGATATGTGTGTGTTAAGATTGGAAGAAACCCCAATTATGGATATACAAGCTTTGATACATTCAGCTGGGCTTTCTTATCCCTTTTTCGACTCATGACTCAAGACTATTGGGAAAATCTATATCAGCTGGTGAGTTTTAGAGTTTTAAATGTTACATGTTGACATTATAAGTACACTAGATAAAAGCTACGTCACACTAGTGAGAAGTTGTCACTTCTTGGGGTGAGTCACTGCTCTGAATCATTTACTTGTTGTCACGGTCTGGGGAACCGGGGCACTAGGGTACCTGAGCTCCGGTGTTTACAGAGTTGGTAGGAGCCATGTGAGTGTAAGTTTCAGCTTGAGCTATTGATTTTGAGAAACAACACACTTTTTAACATAGGGACAAATTAATAGCTAAAACCTTTAACAAACTGGACAGGTTTATCCCCAGGACCTGCCCCTTGCGGAAGCAGCTCTGGCGGCTCTATAAGATCAGTTCAAACTGGTCTATGCCTTTCCGCTTCTGAAACTCCTTCCTCATCTACTATAAAGGATCAAGATGGAGAACATATGATGATTCTCATAGTACTCAATTAGCACAGGCAGATGTGATATTCCAACCTGATAGAACACACTGTGGGTCCTTCCAGATCATCCTGATCTCCTGTTCCAGTTTACCACCCTGCTTCATGGTAGTTGGTTAACACCGTGGCTTTCAGAGACAGAGGTCTCCCGGACTTGGTAATCCCCACACTATTAAGAGCTTGGAAGCCTGCCTCTTGCAATGTGAGGCCTAGAGCCTCCTTTCTTCCTAAGTTGGATTCAGCCTTTCACCTCAATCAGTATATTGTACTTCCATCTCTATGTCCACCTCCAGTACACTAGAATAGAAATTCCTTACCTCTTAACCACTGCTTCCATTACAAAGACTCTCTTTTTGGCATCCTTTACATGTTAAGGCTATTATTGTGACTTTAGGGTAAACGTTCTTGTCAAAATGCACTCTACTAGATTTTTGAGTGCTTCTTGAGCTTTTAGGCATCAGTCAATTGTTTGCCAGATTTTAAAGGCTGTCACTTTGTCCTCTTTTAATAAGGTCTCTAGGTTTTTCAGGTGGATTTCCAAGCCTTTTCTGATGCCAGATTTGGGTATAAGGTCCTTCAGGCAGCTCTCTGAGCTGCAAGCTGCCCCCGGTGTTATTATTATTATTGTTATGTGGGCCTGTTAGAATTTTGTTTGCTGTGTTGCCCTCTGCTCATTTTGGCTGCCTTTTGGCATTATAATTGTCTCATAATAACATAATGTTTTTGTCCCATAATGAATGATAAAGAAAACAGGATTTTTGTACCTACCTTAGTATCGATTTTTTTGATTTTTTTTTTGAGGTTCCACCCCTGTGATCATAACACCCCCTGTGTTATGATCTACTCCTTAATGCTGATTTTCTACAAAAACTGATGCTTGCTGGGAGTGGGAGAGGTTATACTTGGCTGGCCAAAGGCTTTTTTGTTTGTCAGTGTCCAAATCCTTATGTAAGCGGCAGTATAACTTAATCATCTCAGAATAACTGAATTGCTGTATCCTTTAACCCCTTCATGACTAGTGACGTACAGTGTACGTTACTGGCATCGGGGGCCGTTTAAACAGGCCCGCCGGGGCTCTGTTTAAACTTTAAAGCCAACTTGGATCCATTCTTAGGATAGTACAGATGCTGAGGATTTACGCCGTGTGCACATTGCACTCTACATGACATGCAGGCAATATATACACAAGAAAATACATTTCTAGGAGAAAGAGGAAATAGTTTTTTGACAGAAAAGTCTCTCCTACTAAAAACAACTCCTAGCTATTTTATTCAGACTTTAGTTCTCCCTAAAGTACACCTGTTAGGGAGATTCACTCTCTCTAATTTTCTTGAGCCACAATTTCTCCAGGGATAAAAGGGAGGGTAAATCCAAAATTTTTAGTTGCCACCTGAACAGGGATCTATGGAAAATTTAACAATGGGGACACTTGTTCCTGTGACAACTGTTTAAAAAGGTAATATTTATCATATTGAAAAGATATCCTCTCACTTCTTTTTGAATATTCAGGACAGAAAATTAAATCTCCCTTATGAGACCCAGATTGCAATAAAAACACTCAGTGGCTGTAACTGTCCTCCATTCTATCCAAAATGAAAACAAGTTTTGTCTTTAGATATATTTTAAGTATATTTGTGTTGTTAAGTATCCTAATATTGCAATAAAATATGTACTTAATGCTGCAGACTCTTCGAGCCGCTGGTAAGACCTACATGATCTTCTTTGTGTTGGTGATCTTCTTGGGATCCTTTTATCTGGTCAATCTGATCCTGGCTGTGGTAGCTATGGCTTATGAGGAACAGAATCAGGCAACACTGGAAGAAGCAGAGAAGAAAGAGACTGAATTTCAGCAAATGTTGGAGCAACTTAAAAAACAACAAGAAGAAGCTCAGGTACAATACATTTTTACATTGTGACTGATATAATTTCTTTATTTTTACAATTAAAGATACCAATCATAATTAAGGTTATACATTAAGGCCCCCAAAGTCCCTATACAGATCCATGACTGGGCGGGCCTTTCTTCTCATCTGGCTGTTTTCAAAGAGCTAGGCGATGATTCAACCCACAAAGATGAGATGAAAAAGAAAGTTTTAGAATGTGAAAGAATCTCCTTGTAAATTGTGATGTCCCATAAATGTATGATAGTTAATTATTTCTATGTGGCAGGCGGCAGCTGCAGCAGCACTTAATCTATCGAAAGAGTACAGCGAAGAGGGCGGCTTTGGGCCCCTTTCTGAAAGTTCGTCAGAGGCTTCTAAGCTAAGTTCCAAAAGTGCCAAAGACCGACGCAACCGAAAGAAGAAAAAAAGACAGAAAGAGTTTGGAGAAGACGATGAGAAAGGGGATGACGACAAGTTTCCAAAGTCTGAATCTGAAACGAGTATCAAGAGGAAAGGTTTTCGTTTCTCTATTGAAGGAAATCGACTAACCTATGAAAACAAGTTCTCTTCTCCGCACCAGGTATAATTAGAAAGTTGATGTGATAATCATGTTCTGTTGTTCTTGCTGCGCTCTGATTATTCCTTCTGCAAAACATTTTTATCAGGAACCCCTTCTTTTAATGGGTATCACTATAAAACTAAATAGCATGCTGCTACTTTGAATGAATCACGTCTCACTGACACTTAGAACAACTGAACTTTAATAGGTTAAGTAAAAATAGATTAAGTGTCATTTTGTACTTCAAAAATAACCCAGGTCTTGGTAAAATGGGTAGAGAATTAATGGTTATAACCTTAATAGCTATTTTAAGGATTTGTTGATATTAAAAGTTATCTTCTATTTCCATTTGTAGCTATTCAAAGCTTCCTAGAACTGCCAAAAAAAACAACAACATTTTTTCCCTGCATGATAGCAATCCGGTACATTTTGGAGCCAAGGTTTCTCTGAATCCTCATCTTCTGACACCTATAATTTTACCTTTGCTTTTATGAAAAAAAGCTATGGGGAGAGCCTGAGGTTGAAGTATATGCAGCCTGTTGTATAAAATATAACATCCTTGGGATGTCTTTAATGTGAAGATGAACTTGAAGGGTTCAGTGAATTGAATACCAGTGATGATCAAAGTCCTTAGGAGATAACCCAATTACATTTATTTCAGAAGGCCAAGTTCATTAGAAAGTTTATTTACTGCAACCAAAAAGGCAAACCTGTAAGTGGTACCAGAGCTGCATCATTTAAAGCTGAACTGCAGACATACATTGAAATACACAAATGCAATACAGATATAAGACCTGTTTTACTCACCATGATTTGTATTTCTGTCCATCCAGCTCTGAGATTCATACAGCGTTGTCTTGCAGGGCAAGAGACCTGTTTTTAGTCTAATGCAGTTAAGTTATTAGAGGTGCGCCGAAATGAAAATTTCAAAACCGAAACAAAGCCGAAAAAAAAAATGTCCGGCCGAAACCAAAAATGTTTTTTATTTGTTATTTGAACTTTTTCAAAAAATATATATTTTATTTGTATGTATTTTTTATAAACTTTTTAATTTTTTTATATCTATTTTTATTTATTTATTAATTTTGATTAAAAAAAATATTTTTTACTTTTCATTTAGATGCTTCGGGGGAATATTGGGGGTCTAAACAGACCCCTGATATTTCCCTTTCAAATAGAAAAAGAGATTGAGAACACAATCTCTTTTTCTGCAGCCCCTGTTATAAATGAACAGGAATCCTCTATACTGAGTGTTCCTGTTAATTCATAACTTGAGGACAGAGTAAGTTTACTATAACCACAGTCATGAATGAACAGGAGGCGATGTAGATCACTTCCCATTCATTCATAATTGAGGATACAGTAACCATACTCTGTCCTCAACTATGTACAAACACTCAGCGATCACTGATCACTGAGTGTTTGTACCCGCTCTCCTTCCTGACACGCTGTCACAGGAGGCTGGGCGAGCGGAGCTCAGCCTTCTGTGACAGCACTTCAAGCTGTCTCTGCCCACACCGCTCTCCTCTGATCTGTGACAGGAGGCTGAGCGGTGTGGGAGGAGAGACCCCGACCGCTCAGAGCGCTCTCCTCCCATAGCGCTCGGCCGCCTGTGACAGTTTCTCTCCTTGCCGCTGGGAAACAGAGCAGCGCCCAGTGGGGAGGAGATAATAGGATGCACCGCTGTATCGGACAGAAAATGGCACTTTCGGCATTTTGCCGAAAGTGCCATTTTCGGCCGATAAGTTTTGGCAACCGATATATACCTATTAATAATTACAGGTCATGTTCCGTCCACAGTTTGAAAGTGGACAGTGAAAGGAGAAGCAGCAGACCGATGTGCTCATCTCTATATGATTCTGCTTATTCCTCTATAAGAATTTTCCTTTTTAGCACATGATCCAGCATGGTAGGCCTGGCTCTGTGCTATGCTTCATCCTCTCCCAGTGTTAGCGTTGCTGTACAGGGGCTACAGGAGGCTTATATCACGTCAAATTTGGATACTTAGACTACTTGCATTTAACAATATACATTTAATGATGCATTAATGAATACAGAGCTGCATCAATGTGTTTCTTTTATGTCTGCTTTAATATTTGTCTTATGCTCAATATTACACTTTATGCTTGTTTTAAACAATTTCAACAACCATACTGTCATGGTCAGATTATAAGCAGATAACCCGAACAATATGGTATATGGAGTTATATAACTGGCCACAACTATAAGTTTATAAAGTACTTTGCTTTGGGCTCGAAGGCCCTGAATCTTTCAGTTTTGTGTAAATGTTCTGTATGGGTTGCCAAATCTGCTGAACATTTTGTACCCTGCCCAAGCAGCTGTCTCTATCAAGATAGGTGCATGAAGAAGTTTAAATGTTGTATTAGATGTGGTTCTCCTGCCCACCATTACCTAGTAGTTCCTGGTACATATAAAAGAAAGTCAGGAAATCAACAGCACTCAGTAGTAAAGATAAATACGTCCCTTTTATTGGACAGAAAGCGCCACAGACATCCAAATAAACCGACGTTTCGGGGGCCACGCAGGGTCCCTTCCTCAAGGCAGAAAGATGCCTTGAGGAAGGGACCCTGCGCGGCCCCGAAACGTCGGTTTATTTGGATGTCTGTGACGCTTTCTGTCCAATAAAAGGGACGTATTTATCTTTACTACTGAGTGCTGGTGATTTCCTGACTTTCCTGTGTTTGCACGGCGCCATCCGTGGTATCTCATCACTGCGAGCACCACTTTTTTCATATCTGGCCGGGACTGCTGTGAGGAGTGCGGAGGGTCTCTCCATCTACTTACACCTGCTACATATAATACATTTGATTGATTCTTCCAAATAATAATGGTACATCAGTCCAGTACCTATCACTTTTATAGAGAATGTCATAATATTGAATGGTAATACAGTTTTCTCTTCTTAAACAGTCATTGCTGAGTATCCGCGGATCTCTGTTTTCACCAAGACGTAACAGCAGAGCCAGCCTCTTCAGCTTCAGAAACCGTGCAAAAGACATGGGGTCAGAGAATGACTTTGCTGATGATGAACACAGCACCTTTGAGGACAATGAGAGCAGAAGAGGCTCTTTATTTGTACCGCACAGCCACGGAGAAAGGAGGAACAGCAATATCAGCCAAGCCAGCAAATCATCCAAGACAATGCTTCCGTTGAATGGGAAGATGCACAGCACAGTGGATTGCAATGGAGTAGTGTCTCTGCTGGGAGGTCCATCTGTCCCGACATCGCCTGTTGGACTTCTTCTGCCAGAGGTGATAATAGATAAACCAGCTTCTGATGACAAAGTAAGGAAGTTTTAAGTAGTCTAGACATGGTGGGACCCTAATACCCACAAATCGTATTTCTCTGAAGGTGGATCCTATAGCACTGTATGGTGGTTGGTTTTCATAAAGTACATCTGGACAGCTTTAGGGTTCTTTTCCAGCCAAAATAGGTTTTTCTCTCTTCTTGCCTGTTTATGAACTCTCTACTTCCTAACGTACAAC